TCTCAATCAGTTCCTCCCTGGTAAACCACCGATCTTCGTTGGGATCCGTGTGATGCTTGAATCTGACACGATATTCTCTCTTCGGTTTAGGAGGTCTTCCTCGACCCAACGGCTTTGCAACAGGCATGTCCCTATGATCCACAATGTCATCGATGTCGACTTGTCCATCCATGGTTGGGGGCAGCATCGATCTCCTGGAAGGGAATTGATCAGTCTCAGAGAAAGGTGCAAGCTTTGAGGCATGAAAGACTGGGTGAGTGCGTAGGTGTCCAGGGACACGAATGACATAAGTGGGACCATCCATCTCATCTCCCACTATATCTAAGACTTCCCAGGGACCAAAGTATTGAGGCATTAGTTTGCGAGAGATTCCGAATTCCTGTCCTAGCTCGCTAGCCTTGACCCAGACACGTTCCCCTACCTGAAATGTGGACTGTCTACGATGTTGATTCTCAGAAGCAATCATTGCTTGCTGAGCTTTCTTCATGTACTCGATAGCTTCTTGCAGCAACTTCTCATAATGCACACCGTACTCCAATGTGCCTGGGGTTGCAGCAGGTCGGTTTTTAGGTAGGAGGAAGTCTAACGCGGATCTAGGCTTCCATCCCAAGTGTAGCTGGTTAGGACTCATGCCGGTGCTGCTGTGCACAACATTGTTGTACAGACTGGCGATGAGTGGCAACTTCTCATCCCAATCATCTTGGCTGGGCTTGATGTAATGCCTCAGCAAGTGCTGTACAACTCTATTCATCTGTTCGGCTTGTCCGTTGGCTTCGGGATGATTCCCTGAAGTCTACTGAAGTTGACTGCCCATTTGTTCCGCAGTCTTCTTCCATAGCTCACTTGTGAATCGGACGTCTCTATCACTAACGATAGTCTTTGGTAAACCAAAGTCCCGCACCCAGTTGTCCTTAAACAACTTGATGACATGGTCAGTCCTCGCACTTTCCGGCATGACAACTAGTCTAGCGTACCTGGTGAATCGGTCTATGATGACGAAGATGTGCCTTTTACCACTCTTGCTAGTTACCAGGGTGTCCATGAAATCCATGGAAACACTCTGTCCTGGACCAGCGGGAATAGGTAAGGGCTTAAGTAACCCTAGCGGTGCTTGAGTTCGCGGTTTGTCCCGCTGACAGACCTGATAGGTCTCTACGTACTTCTTTGCGTCATCAAACATACCAGGCCACCAAAATCGTTGTACTAGATTAGCACTCGTTTTCTTGTAGCCAAAGTGACCCGTTGCATCATGGCATTCTCCTAAAAATAAACTACGCAACTGTTCACTAGATGAAACTACCAATCTCTTTATTCCGACCTTATCAAGATAGAGTAGCCCGTCCACCATCACAGACTCACTTTCTGTGACCTTGTCTTTTGCCTGAAGTTTGCGGATGATGTCCATCGTGACAGGGTCTTCCTGATAGGCTCCCACCAATGATTGAGTTACTTCATTAGATACGCCAAAGTCAGAAACTAGCGCACCTAGGTAGTCTGCTCTACGGAATAGCGCGTCTGCAACCTTGTTGTACTCTCCCTTCAGGTACTCAAGCTTGAAGTCATATTGGTCTACGATCTCAATCCATCGCTTGAGCGCATCAGAAAGAGCCGGTTGAGTCTTGATCCATTTGAGGGTCTGATGATCGGTCCTCAGATAGAAGAATCTTCCCAAAAGGAAGTGTCTCCAATGGACAAGTGCCTTGTAGAGAGCAAAGAGTTCCCTTTCATAGGTGGACTTAACCAACTTCTTTGATGGCATCTTCTTACTCATGTACTCAATCGGTCTCAACTTTTTCCCATCCTGCTGAGCCAGCACTGCGCCAATGTCGTATTGGCTTGCGTCAGTGGTCACTATGAATGGCTTCTGCGGATCGGGAACCATGAGGACCTCATGATTCATGAGTGCATGCTTCAATCTCTTGAAAGCACCCTCGCACTCATCACTCCAGTCCCACGGTGTGTCAAGTCGAGTTAGATCAGTCAAAGGAGAGGCGACTGTAGAATAGTTCTTTACGAAGTTCCTATAGTAGCCGCACATTCCTAAGAATGATCTGACCTCAGTGACAGTCTGAGGTCGTGGCCAGTCTCGAATACTAGCCACCTTTGCATCCTCCGGCCTAATCCCTTCCGCGGATACTTCACGACCCAAGTATAGTATCTTAGTGCGACCGAATTCACACTTCTCTAAGTTGACCTTATACTTGTACTGTCGAAGGAGTGAAAGTACCGTCTCAACATGCTGTGCATGCTCCTCGGCAGACTTACTAAAGATCAGAATGTCATCTAGGTAGACCACGACAGACTTATCTAAATGGTCATGGAAGATCCGATTCATAGCGTGCTGGAATGTACCCGGCGCATTACAAAGACCAAAGGGCATCACTACAAACTCATACAGACCATAACGCGTCTAAAAAGCTGTCTTGTGTTGGTCCTCAGGTCTTATTGCGATCTGATGATATCCGGATTTCAAGTCTATCTTGCTTTAGTACTTGCATCCCTGCACCCTATCCAATAGGCATCCCTGGACCCTATCCAATAGGTCGTCTATGCGAGGTAGAAGCTCTGCGTTTTTCACAGTGATGGCATTGAGGCCTCTATAGTCAATGCACATCCTCGAAGTACCCCCCTTCTTTGGTACGAATAGAACGGGTGATCCGTAAGGGGAAGTACTAGGCCGAAKCCATCCTTTCTCTGTCAGCTCCTTTAGTTGCTTCCGAAGTTCATCTAACTCGGCAGGGGCCATCMTATAGATCCTTCCCTTTGGGGTCTTACTCCCTGGAATGATTTCTATAGCGTGGACGACTTCCCTATCAACAACTCCTGAGGGCTCTTCGAACAGATCAGGGAACTTAGCAACGACGCGTTCTCAGAGACATAAACAAGGTGCATAACCTTCTCTTGGTTTTGCTCGTAGTAATTGTAGAACGCTGATGCGCACAAGCAGCCATAGGTATCTATAATACTACTGGCCTTGAACTTAGTCAATCTGACAGTTCGGCCATCGGGCAACTTATGCTTAAGCACCTTCTTATCCTAGTCGAACTGGTGCTTAGCAACTTCGAGGTAGTACATGCCTAATAACATGTCAAATGGTAAGTCGTCGCTAACCGAGAACGAAATCTTATGGTTAAGCTCACCTCCTCCATAGGAGAAGGTACAGACTACGTCCTTGATGTAGTCTGTTACAATCATGCGCTCCTTGTTCGCCAAAGTAGATGCTACAGGTCTACTAAGGTGCCGTACCCGGTCCTGTAGGTGCAGCCTTTCCAAACAGTCGCGGCTTATGTAATTCCGCGTGGAGCCTATGTCTATGAAGGCACCACATTTGCGGCCTCCTACATCGACCTCCACCACGAAATGTTCCCCTCTAGGACCTTTCCTCAGCGCCACCCAAGACTCGCGAGGGTCCTTGTTTGACCACTCACTCTCCAAGTCCTCTAAGGCTTCAGACACATCTAACGTACAGAGCATAGTTTGGTCTAGTTGTGTCTGCGGGGTGACTAAGGGGTCATTAGCCTTGGCCTTGTCATGAAGTAGGGAGGGTATCAATCCTACTTCATCTTAAGTAGAAGCAGCTATTACTTCCACTGGCCTCACGTGTTTCCCAAGCTAGAAGCCTGGGAATGAGTTGCCCCCATCTTTGGAGCAACCTTTTGCGTAACCTTAGTGTTCTGGCACTTGTACTGCGAGTGTCCGTATTTCCCGCAGTTGATACAAGCGCCACGCGTTCGACGGTCACGCCACACGTCTTGTTCAGGACCTGCCTTTACCCACTCAGCCTGCTTGGTCTGATTGGAGGCGGCCTTCCCTTGACCCCTAGGCTGGCCCTTTCCTCGGCATGCCGCCTTAGTCTTAACTACCGCGGCGAGGGTGCTACCCTCAGCTACCTCCTCGCCGTCATACTCTGAGTAGTCCATCAGGTCAGAGAGCTCATCGATCTCAGTTTGAGTCCCATCAGACTCAACCATCATCAACTTCGCCCCCTTCTTCTTCCACTCCTGAGGACTCTTCTTCTTCTTTGAGTCATTCCCTGAGGTGGGTTGAGCATTGCCTAGCGTGGCTTCCAAATCTAAGGCTTTCCTAGACAATGTCTCAAACAAATGGTACTCTACGCGTGCCTCACTGGCTAGCAAGTTCCTCATGTTCTCAGAAAGACATCTAACAAACGTAGTTAAGAGGAACTAGTCACTGTAGTTGATGCCTGGAACGAGGATCAGGCTCTCGACGGTAGTCGTAAGCTCTCTCACCGACTTGAACTTGCGTCGGTCGAGTTTGTTAATGGCATCAGTGGCCCTTTGAGCCTCCTGTGGGTTATGCCATCGAGCTTCTACCATCTCCATGAACTGGTCTAACGTCAAAGTCTTAGCCCAGTCTGCTATGCGTCGCCCGTATCCGGCCTTCACAACCATCTAACCACTTGGCTGCCTTACCCTCGAGGTAGGATGCAGTAGTAACCACTTCGTCCTCAGGCAAGGTCCTCTTTGCCTTCACCCAAACCGGGACCGTTCTCAACCATGTGTTGAGTTCCTCGTCCTTTCTCTCTCCTGAGAAGGCAAGAGGTGGTTTCATTGGGGTCTTAGGGTACCATTGACCTTGCAGCTGTCCTTGTTGAGGACTAGCCTGTTGCCATGGTGTAGCAACCACCGCTGGACCCGAAGAAGAAGATGCAACAGTCTGTGCGGCTGCTGCAGATGTGCCACTTGGCTGTGTGCCAGCTTGAACCGGAAGGCCTGACATCGCCGATAACGACAACGACGATTGTGCTGGTGGCCGGAATCCTGGCCTCGTCAAAGCATCCAGGATCTGGTCTAGAGTGCTCTGCATGAAGTCTAATTTGCTGTCCACGTGTGCGTGCAATGACATCGTATTCTTCTTCAATACTTTTAGTGGTTCAGTCAATGCTGACTCATCCAAGCCCTCTAATTCAGCCTTGTCAGCCTCGAAAGTTTCAAGCCAGGCTGCTCTAGTTTTCATCGCATTTTCTCTATCGGTATCATCTTTCAGGTCCTGCTCTAACTTACGGCGGAGCCTCTCGACCTGCTGGATCTCTCTGAGCTCCCTCTCACGCGGGGTCAACGGGCTGAACTGCGCGCCCGCCATTTGACTAGAAGACTGTCTAGATCCTGTGGAACCGGAAGTGCCCGAGGAACTTGTGGAACTCGTTGGCATACCCAACTGACCCCCATTAGTCCCTGACGAGGACGCAGACGATGACGCAGCAGAGCTTGCGCCGTTAGCCATTGCTGCTGCTCTGGCTGCTGTTGCCTGCTCTCTAGCTGCTGCGTTTGCTGCTGCTATCCCCGCTGCTAGAGCACGGGCTCTACGTAACCGTCTTTCTTCTCCTGGTTCCAAGGCCTGGAACACGTGCGGTACCCTTAGTGCATGTGCATGTGTTAGTCTCCTACCGTCAGCTCTATCATCAAGAGGGTCTGACCCACTCATGAGTTCGACATATAGTGTTTACACTAGAATCCCCTAATGGAATCCTACCTCAGCATGTATCTGACCGGCACGTAATTTTCTATAAATAGTTGTGTCCCGCGAGTTCCTACTATACCGAATCAAGTGGCATGTCTACAACATTCACATCAGATTGTCTACATGGTCTAGATGTATCCTGATAAGTTCTCTTACAACAGCATTTAGTTAGAACTCGCTATGGTAGCATACAACAGTCCTACACTAATCTGTCTGTGAGGTCAGCAGTCCGTCAACCAACTAATCAAAGATACAAAAAGACAATGTCGCAGATGTTTGATGAGTGAGTATTGTTGTGTATTCAGTTGAGCACCAATTGGAACCTACCCTCCCCTCCATCCAACATACCGAACAGCATCATTGAGCAGAGCAGTGTGTTCGTGTGTATCTCGGCCCACCCCTGTGCCCAAGTCAAAGCCAAGTAAGCCAGCCAGCCCACTCTTATTTACCCTCGTACGGAAACGAGCCTTCCACCCAGATGATCTGGCCGATCAGGAGGATTATTAAGAGTGCCCCCATCTCTTCAGGAATTCTTTAACGTCGCAGTCAGGACGACAATCACAGCCAGAATCATTCCGAGTACCCAATCAGAAATGTTTATAGACGGTCTGGTAAGCGTCTCATACAAGGCTGGCACACTTGGCAAGATTTCTATCTGGCGCAACAAAGTGCCTTAATGGACAGCAGCCATCGCATGCGTGACCTACTCCCATTGGGTTGGCATGGTGACCGTGACCCCGTGCTTCGACCAGGGCCCTTCTTAGGCATCGCCCTTTCGCCTTCCAGTTGCTTCCGGGAAGATTGTCGTCTTGAAAGGTAGCGCACTCACGACACCTCACCAAGGAGAGGACTCTCAAGTTGGACTCACTTCCTCACGGTAAGAAGAGATTGAGAAGGTAGATAAGGTAAGGGATCAACATACCTGGAGATAGCTGCCCCCAACCACAAATTTTCTCACCAATTGAGCTGATGTTGCATTTGATGACCGGTCATGACCTTGGTACCACCCACAACGCAATGCAGTGCCACCTTAGTCCAATGCCACATCAGCATGCTCTCATCACCAATCATACATTCCGCATGTAACCCATGGCCTACACTGCTGTATTAGCCTTCCGGTGCAC